ATACAGCAAATAAATCAAATAAAAGTAACATCTGTAAAATAGTGAATGCACACTTACACTAAGATTCTGAATGGAGTTGAAAACTAAACGAGCATCCCCTTACTGTGAGAGATGCAAGTGAAGGCAAGAGTGGTGTATTCGGTCCTAAAATAATTTTATAAACAATTGTAAGCATTTTTTCCCCACAGTCCCTTAATATAGTATGCATACTTAATGAGAAAACAGAATGCCAATAACAAAGAAACTACATTTTAACACTATCAACCACAAATAATATTACCATATAGTCTAGTCATAATAAAAGTACAATTACTATACTGTGCACTTACTCAGTATGATTTTCCAGCGAACTCAAAACTGAACGACAGGTGTGCCTTTCTTGTGCAATTATGCGAGTGATGCAGCCACAGTCCTAAACGAAAATTAAAATAGTTGTTAGCAATTACCAGATGCAGCATAGCTGATAAATAAACTGCATCACTGATAAGACAGGACGCGCGTATATGTCTGTCGATGCATCACTTATTTACAGCTTACTTGATATGTTTACACATCAGATGTTCACGAACACCAATGACCGAGTATAAAACATTCAACATATTAACATTATAACTCACATTACTTTTATATCATTGCGGTCTATTTTATAGAACATAAAAAACTTCCTGGCGTTGTGAGACATATATGCAGTGAATGAATCTTCATAATGTTTCACTTGATTATACATTTAGTCAGGAATCATGGTTTGGAAAAAGTAACTAGTAAAATATGTACAAGTTATGTCACAGTAACACAATAGCAACTAATGCAAGTAGGCACAAAAAAAAAAAGACTTACTATATCCTCCACTGAATATCACGCCGGCGCGTTCTTCTGATGAAAATCCAAAGCTTATTCCTCTCAGCGCGTCTTCTTCCAGAAGCGAAGTAGCCGAGATGAACTTGAGGAAACATCGCTGCTGTGATGTGGGCGTTTACATGCGCGTGTCTCATGTGGAGGATTGTAATAACAAAAGCGCGATCGGCGCGTGGGCGTGGTCACAATAAAGATAATGAAGGCGACGGCCAAGACTTGACATCGCGTTGGTTTCATACTGATGACTTTGTCACATAATATTTGTTTTTGACATGACTTACTTCGTTTAAAAGTAGACCTGTTAAGCTTTCTATAGATATATCTCTCATGTGTGTGTGTGTCAAATTTTCTTTATTTTGCAAAAGCACAATGTTTTGTTGATATTGTGACTGTACACAAATAAAAGTAGACCCTTTACAGATTTGTGATCGATATGTACGATCAAGTATGAAGGAGCATTTTAGTTATTTTCACTGTCATCATTCAAATCTGCAAAAAGTTCCGCCGTCGGAACTGTCGACCCCAGGAGGTTAAAAAACCACACTGTTGTATGCAGTTACTGTGTTCTTCTTATTCAGATTTTCCATCTGTAATTTCACTGCTCAGTCTTGTGAGAGTTTGTCATCAGTTTTACAATCCTCAAACTCTGTCCTGAGAGAGCTGGATCTGAGTAACAATGACCTGCAGGATTCTGGAGTGAAGTTGCTTTCTGAAGGTCTGAAGAGTCCAAACTCTAAGCTGGAGATACTGAGGTTTGAGTTTCAAATACTTGATTAATTATTTTGCAAGTTATTAAAAAAAAAACACTGATAAGATTTATTCTGTATGCAGTTACTGTGTTCTTCTTGTTCAGAGTTTTCACATGTAATCTCACTGATCAGTCTTGTGGGAGTTTGTCATCAGTTTTACAATCCTCAAACTCTGTCCTGAGAGAGCTGGATCTGAGTAACAATGACCTGCATGATTCAGGAGTGAAGTTGCTTTCTGAAGGTCTGAAGAGTCCAAACTCTAAGTTGGAGATATTGAGGTTTGAGTTTCAAATACTTGATTAATTATTTTGCAAGTTATTAAAAAAAAAACACTGATAAGATTTATTCTGTATGCAGTTACTGTGTTCTTCTTGTTCAGAGTTTTCACATGTAATCTCACTGATCAGTCTTGTGGGAGTTTGTCATCAGTTTTACAATCATCAAACTCTGTCCTGAGACAGCTGGACCTGAGTAACAATGACCTGCAGGATTCAGGAGTGAAGCTTCTTTCTGATGGACTGAAGAGTCCAAACTGTCAGCTGGAGCTACTGAGGTAATGGTTTTCCATAAAATAATTAACAAAATGCTACCACAACAAATGGCAGCTGAATTTTGTCAAAAAAAGTTGCTTCTGCTCTCAATGGACTTCCAGAGCTAGAGACACAAGGAACAAGAAACTGAAGTCTCAGAGTGATTCAGTTTGCTGTAAATGCTGTTCCACATGAACTCATCTCTATCAGTGCTGTGAGTTTGGGTCACTTATAACATGGATTGGAAAACTAAAAATGCACCAAATATCTTGATAAATTTGTAATGAGAAATGTTTATAAATCTGTCGAAGCATCAAGAACTTTTAAGGTTGTTCATAGTTTTTATAAAAAAAATACAATTTTTATATTTTATATACTTTAAAAATATAGCTTTTATTATTTTAAAGATTGAAAGCAAAGATATTAAGAGAGCCATAAATAACAGCATTGTAATTTTACTGTAAATATATTTGAACTATTTGCAATTAATATTTTTATTTTACAAACATGTACAGATTCACTCTGAATTGTTTGCCTAAAGTGCTGAAAATTATTCTATGGGTGTTTTCATATATATATATATTTTTAAAAGAACCAAACCCAGTTCACTTAAAGTTAACCAGAATGGGAACCAGCCGAAAGTGACTTGTGTCTGTCACAGTGTGCCTACTGTGTTAGAGCGAGGAGACAAAGGAGCGCGGAGATTGAGGGAATCCAGAAGCATAATACACTTTATTTCTCAAGGAACAAGGAACACACACGTAGCACACAGGACTAAACAAGACAAACCTGGAATCAATAAACATAATTAACATGGGAGAAACTGGGTAATGGAAGGCACATGGGGAGAGAAACACAAGACACAGGAACACAGGACTGACATTACTCCCCCCTCCCGGAAGGCACGTCCCCGTTCTGGGACCCATGGTGGATCAGGCAGTTCGGGGCGCCATGGCGGTGTAGGCAGCCTAGGAAGCCATGGCGGAGTAGGCAGACTAGGAAGCCATGGCAGAGCAGTCAGACTAGGAAGCCATGGTGGAGCAGGCAGACTAGGAAGCCATGGCGGAGCAGGCAGTTCAGGGGGCCATGGCGGAGCAGACAGTTCAGGGGGCCTGGCCTCAGCACTCAGTCTGGCCTCTACGGCCGGATCCCTATAACCCCCCCCAAATCCTTGGGGAGAATATCGGCTTTTGAGGCCCTGCGTGGGCCGGATGTGGGAACAGCGGCCCTCCCTGGGCTTGACTCCGGAACTGTGGCCCTCCCTGGGCCAGATGTGGGAACAGTGGCCCTCTTTGGGCTGAACGTGGGAACTGGAGCCCTCTTACTTAACTTGGGAACAGGAGCCCTCTCTGGGCTGGACTTGGGAACAGAAGCCCTCTCTGGGATGGACTTGGGAACAGGATTTCTTTCTGGGTTTGACTCCGGGGCTGGAGCCGACATTGGAGCGGACTCAGGGGCTGGAGCCCACAGTCTCTTCCTCCGTATTCTCCTTTTTAGAGCAGAGGTGAGAGAGACAGCTTTTAGCTGAGGGCTTGGGAGGGTATCAGGAAACACAGGGCTTAAGTACAGGAACTAAACGAGACAAACCTGGAATCAATAAACATCATTAACATTTGAGAAACTGGGTAAAGGAAGGCACATGGGGAGAGAAACACAAGACACAGGAACACAGGACTGACAGAGTCCTTATGGTGTTCACAGTATAGTGGACTCAAAAGAGAATACAGTCCTTTTATTGGTTTTCTTGAGCACTGAAGTGATCTCAGGCACTTTCTTGTTCACACCACAACTTCACAAGAACTCAAACCCCAGCTTTCTGTGCAGCAGTGAAACGCTGGAGTCTGACCTACTGGAAAATTTGGAAGATGAAGTGGACAGTGAAGGGGATGAGGAAGAGCTTTATCCAGAGCTTTAACAACACATTTCA